GGGCGAGAGGGAGAGGGGGGGTGGAGTCGGGAGGGAGGGTCTCTTCTGAATAAACGCGGCTGCTTACGCGACATGCAAATCGACTATTACTAGTAGCAATCTCGTTGCTACCTTCGTGCCTCGCACGTAACTCCCTATCATCGTAACTGACTGTATTTGGCCAGGATAGAGTCTGTATACGTTCATGATGACAGAGAGAAATGTTCACCGAAAGGTGGTGGTAGAGTAGTAAAGGAGCATGAGAGGGCACCGACCACACGCGCCAGAATGCAAAATGCAATACCCCTACCTTCTTCAAGATGACTCGGCGAAGCTTCTGGGAATCTTCCACCTCGTCTAGCCTCCTCGATCTCCTGCCTACCGTGTCCTCCTGCATGCGGCCGTTGTTGTCGGCCGCGGCCCCGTTCTGTCCCGATACCGGTTTGAGGAGCGCGCCCTCGTAGACGGTGCCGAAAGATCCTTCCCCCAGCCGCTGCCCGACGATGAAATCCGTGCGCTTGAAGTTGCGCCGGCCGAGCGCAACCTCCGCGAGCGCCTGGATCGGGGCAAAGATATACGCGTCCAGCGCGCCCAGCAAGATCCCCGGTCGGGCTGTCAGATACACCCACGTCAGGATCCCGACCACGACCGACTTCACTTGCTGGTCTTGAGGAAGAGCCGTGAATTCCTTGATGCCGCTGATGGCCGCCTGCGCCAACTGGCCGGGAATGAATGGCTGAGAGGACGCCACGTGTCTCAATGTGTCTGTAGAGGAAGCCAGTAAGGAGTCAAGATTATCCACGATCCCGATCTCGACAGAGGCGCAGATGACTGCGCGACTGCGACGCCGATGGCGGCGTGGGCAGAGGTGGGCGGGGAGTGAGGAGGGAGCTGCGCCGCCGCGGAGGAGGCGGCCGGTCGCGATGCCAGCGCCTGCGGCGCCTGCCAGCAAGCAGGGGGGGGAAGCAGACAGAGGCGATGTCCCCCTCCTTCCTGCCGTTGGGCCATCCTTCCGCACTTTCAGCTTGGCGCAGATCGGCGCGCACGAGCTGCTTCCGCTTGCGCCGCTGCTGGAAGCCGTCATCGCCATTCTCTCCGCGGCTGCCGATGCTTTGGATTGCGCGTGATGGTGCCCGGCCGAGCGGATGGCCGCGGAGGCGGGCGCAGGAGCCGTGGTCGAAGAGCAGGCGGGTACGCACACCACAGGTGTAATCCCCGCCATCGTCGCTAAGTACCCAGAAAGCCCTGGCTCTAATTACCGACAAAAGAGCGCCTTTCTTTCAACGAGGGGCTGTAGGGAGCGGTGGCACGTGGCAGCACGTGGCAGCACGAGGAAGAACGGCGCTAAAAGAGATTGCAAGAACAATGCGGGATGTGCTCCTGATCAGCATTCGCAGAGAATGACATGTAGCAACTATCTTCTTTCTTTAAACGTAGCGGATATCGCGCGGATCCAGAGAACCGGGGGGATGGGGGGGGACAGAAAAGGAAGGAAGCAAGCGTATAAGCGGGGGCGGAAGAGAGGGTTTATGGTGGAAGAAAGGGTGGGCCGGCGGGGGGGGGGGGGGGTCACGCCATGCACAGCCAGTCTGAAGCAGATTTCGCCTTCCTGCGCGAATGGGTGATTGCCGAAGCTGCGAACGAGAGTACTATTTCTTTCTCGCAGCCCATTGCCCAACGTTTGGAGGCCAGAGGGGCCGCTGTTGCTGTCAGGCACAGCGCGCCGAGCCGCTGGTCTTCGTTCGAGACACACTGCCGCGGCGGCAATATCCAGAATGGGAAGCGGTGAGGGTTGCCATGTGTACCCTCACACCCCCTTCTTGTACGGCACACGCCCACCCGTGTTGTGCTGCTCGGGATGGCGGACGGCTATGGCGGCAAAAATGACGACGACGATGATGACGACGATCGCGTGAAGAGGGAGATGCGCAAGGTCTTCCCGACAACAAGAGGGACTCCGTCGTCTTTCTCGCGTCTCTTCGACCCTCCGACTTGTACGGTTGGTCACGAAAGGCTTCATTCCTTAGCTAGCTTGCCTGCTCTCCTCCTCCAGTTACAGTACGTCTTAACGGCGGACATACCCGCCATTCCGCCATCGCTGTCCCCTCGGCGGACTGTCATCCTCCTCTCTGAAGCAACCGGCCGGTCCCAAGTCCCGATGCGCTGTCGACCAGGCCGGCGGTTCGATCTTCATATCCATTCCCTGATACGACAAAAAAACACACGCAAGCCGGACCATGGCAGCGGAGAAACTTCCAATCATCAGGTCCGGCGTTCGAATCCTTTAGAACAGAACGGCTGTTCCTCTTTCTTTTGTTCAAGGCCCAACCAATGAAAAAAGGGAAATTTGTGTCGCGCCCCTCGAAGTTTGATTTATTTGCATCACGCTCCTCTGAAAGCCGACCCTGCGACGCCCTTTCTGGACCGCCGGTCCCATTTTTGCGCCGGTCCCTCTGCGATATGCCAACATGAGGGGCATGCATACGTGCCAGAGAGTGCAAACGGGTAAACCCGCCCGTACCCAACTGTAACCGGCAGGTTGTGGGCAGGGACGGGTACCCTTCCAGAGGGGCGAATCAGGTATGGGCAGGCAAAAAAATTATTGGTCTTTGTAAGGGGGGGCACAGTTGCCAAGATGGAGATTACGGGCAGGCAGGGGCAGGTAGGGGTGGGGAAAAGATAAATAACACAGGTATGGGCGGCCAAAGAAAAAAAAACACAAAGGTATGGGCGGGTACGGGTGGCAAAAAAAAAATTCAGATGGGTACGGGCGGGTACCATTTTCTCTCGGGTAACCGTATCA